TGAAGTTATTCACCTAGGTAGAAAAAATAGAAAAACAGATTATTTTCTAGAGGGGGAGAGATTAGATAGTGTTAGAGTGCAGAGGGATTTGGGTGTCCTTGTACACCAGTCTCAAAAAGTTAGTTTGCAGGTGCAGCAAGCAACTAAGAAGGCGAACGGCATGTTAGCGTTCATTGCAAAAGGTTTAGAGTACAAGAGTAGGGAAGTCTTGCTGCAACTGTATAGGGCCTTGGTGAGACCGCACCTAGAGTATTGTGTGCAGTTTTGGTCTCCTTATTTAAAAAAGGACATACTTGCCCTAGAGGGGGTGAGCGTAGATTCACTCGGTTAGTTCCTGGGATGAGGGGACTGACCTATGAGGATAGGCTGAATAAACTAGGGCTATATTCTCTAGAGTACAGAAGAATTAGGGGAGATCTTATTGAAACATATAAGATTCTTAAAGGGCTGGATAAAGTAGACACTGAGGGTCTGTTTCCCCTGGTAGGAGAATCTATAACCAGGGGTCACAGTCTTAAAATTAAGGGTCAGCCTTTTAGAACAGAGTTGAGGAAACATTTCTTTACTCAGAGGGTAGTGAATTTATGGAATTCACTACCCCACAAGGCTGTAGATGCTCAGTCCTTGAACATCTTCAAGGCTGAGACTGATAGGTTTTTAAAAAACAGAGGGATTAGGGGATATGGGGATAGGGCAGGTAATTAGAGTTAGGTCTGAAGATCAGCCATGATCTTATCGAATGGCGGGACAGGCTCGAGGGGCCGAATGGCCTACTCCTGCTCCTAATTCTTATGTTCTTATGTAAAAGTTGTAGACACATTTTGGTGCTTTTCTAGTTTCAGGTGCAGCCTGTTTATTACTCATTCAATCTGGCAAATGTCAACAGGTATCCTGTTTGACATCCTGCTGTGAAAGGTAAGAACTGCAAAAACTTGCATACCATTGCTAATCTTTGTCTTCAGGACTCCCAATTTGCACACAGCAAAGACAACTATCCATTAATTCACATATCATGCCACCCATCACAAAATGTAAAATTTATTTATTTTATATTTGTATTTTAGTACAGTACTTTACCAAGTCAAAAAATCTCAAAGAGCTTCACAGAAATTTTTGTAAAGTGTAGTTACCATGTATTTGTATGCAAACACAGGAGCCAATGTTCCGTGAACAGCCATGAGACAAATGCTCATTTTTTTTAATCTGGAGAACTGTTGGGCAGGACGCTGGGAGAATATTATTTTTCTTTTCGAACAGTACCATGGGATCTTAACTTCCTGGACAGGTGGGACCTCCATTTAATTTCTCACTGAAAGGACAGTACCTCAGACCTGCAGCTCTCCACCTGGTCTAGACTAGAGAGTCAGCTATGTGCTCAAAGTCCTGATGTTGGTTGGTCTTGAACCCACAACCTTCTGACTCCGAAGCGAGATTGCAACCAACTGAGCCAGGAATGCACCAGTTTAAATATTGTATGCCTAAATGTCTTGTGAACCTGATGCAAGAGGAGAATGTGCTTGTGTATAGATCTGAGTGTCAAGGTATGTGATCGGACATACCCGTTTACGTAATGTTTTCAAAAACAAAATTCCATGAAGAAAAAAGGGAAACACTGTATTTCTCAATTTTCCCTCTCCACCATTTTTCCCATTTAAAACTAGTTGTCTAATTTCTACTACAAGGTCTACAAATGAAATGAAATGTATAACTGGAGGTGAGGTCATCAACCACCTGTTCACTGAAATTCAGGAACATGACTGACAGTGAACATCCACCTGTGCCCAGGTCTTTGTGTTGCATTTTAACGCACGGATCCCAAAAGGCTTGCATCAAGCTGTGAGGCATTATTGGTGTAGGCAAATAAAGTAAGTGAATTGACTGTGATTTTGTGGCCGAAAAATGCAGGAGCCAACCGCATGCAGCAGTGTCCCATAAACAGTGATGGATTGAGTGACCAACTTTTTTTTGAAGGGATTATCGCCCCCGGAAAGCAACCCGCCAAATCGACTAACACATCACCAATTGCCTAAGGTTTTGTCCCGATTGGGAATCAAACCCAGGTCCTCTTGCCTGCGAGGTGAATGCTCCAACTAATACGCTACAGTACTCCATGGGTCATCTCAATCAGTAGCAAGAGAATTTTGTTGGAAGTCTACCAGCAGCGTTCTGTCTGGGCATTACTGATTTTTGCACGTAGTTCTACCTAAAATCCTTCCCTCACTACACTTTTCGTAAATCATCAAATGATTTGAGCACCGGTTTGGGACCAGAAGTAAAGCAGATCTGCAGTAATCCAAAGTTTTGTTGATGGTTGACCAATTTGTCCCGACAAATTACCTACACTTTGAGAACAGACCAAGGAATCAACCCCATAAGCCAAACCTTAACAAATAGGACAATTATTTTGGACTGCTTTCGAAGCTTTGATACTGTACCAGTTGAACTGTGTAAAACAGCCCAATCGCACTGAGAGATTAACAATAGGACCAACACACCCACAATGATGAAATTACACAATTGATTAATTTCCATTATACATTGTGCATTTTCTAAAAAAAAAATAAAACTCTTGAGTTATGAGGGAGGGGTGCTAACCTGGAAATTAAATATAGAAATTCCTTAGGTATCAAATATGATTGACTCGAATATGTGGGAGATGAACTCCGGATACCTCTTCTCTGCCATCCCCTCCGATTTCTGTTCTTATTGTCAACATCCACAAAGCTGGATCACTTGTGGCTTCCGACTGCTGCACTAACATGCAAATTTAAAGTTAGTAATTCCTTCACTTCAAGGCTGTTTATGAGACATTACTGTGCTTGAATTATTGGCCAATTTTGTTTACAAGTACAGTCACTACACAGTGAAATCCTATCATCTCAATGTCATTATAAGACACAATATCAAATGTTAAGGACTATTATTATGTCGCTCCAAGTTTCAAGATAAAAAAAAATCATTAAGAAGGGTTAATTCAGCATTAACCAGGCTGCGCAAATAAAGTGGGAAGCACAGGGTCTCCGTAATGATACAGCCAGGAATTCACGTCAAATTTAGGCTGAACTCTCTTGTGTGGCAAGTTACAGTATTGTGAATAAGCACCTCCTGGGGTGTGTGTGGGGGGGGTTGTGTGTGGTGGGGGGGTTGTGTGGTGGGGGGGTTGTGTGTGGTGGGGGGGTTGTGTGGTGGGGGGGTGTGGGTGGAGTTGTGTGGTGGGTGTGGTGGGGGCGGTGTAGGGGGGAGTAGGGGGTGTGTGTGGTGGGGGGGAGTGGGGGGGTGTGTGGTGGGTGTGGGGGTGTGTGTGGGGAGGGAGTGGGGGGGTGTGTGGTGGGGGGAGTGGGGGAGTGTGTGGTGGGTGTGGGGGTGTGTGTGGGGGGGAGTGGGGGGGTGTGTGGTGGGGGGAGGGTCTGGTGGGGGAGTTGTGTGGTGGGGAGTGGTGGGGGAGTGGGGGGAGGGTCTGGTGGGGGGAGTTGTGTGTGGGGGGGTGTGGGTGGTGTGGGGAGTGGGGGGGGGAGGGTCTGGTGGGGGGAGTTGTGTGGGGGGGGTGTGGGTGGTGTGGGGAGTGGGGGGGAAGGGTCTGGTGGGGGAGTTGTGTGTGGGGGGGGTGTGGGTGGTGTGGGGAGTGGGGGGGGAGGGTCTGGTGGGGGGAGTTGTGTGGGGGGGGTGTGGGTGGTGTGGGGAGTGGGGGGGAGGATCTGGTGGGGGGAGTTGTGTGGTGGGTGGTGGGGGGGGTGGGTGGTGGGGGGGAGGGTCTGGTGTGGGGGTGTGGGGAGGGTCTGGTGGGGGGGTGTGGGTGATGTGGGGAGTGGGGGGGAGGGTCTGGTGGTGGTGGTGGGGGGGAGGGTCTGGTGGTGGTGGTGGGGGGAGGGTTGTGGTGGGGGGGGTGGTGGGGGGAGGGTCTGGTGGGGGGGTGTGGGTGATGTGGGGAGTGGGGGGGAGGGTCTGGTGGTGGGGTGTGGGTGGTGGGGGGGAGGGTCTGGTGGGGGAGTTGTGCGGTGGGGGGGAGGGTCTGGTGGGGGGAGTTGTGCGGTGGGGGGGAGGGTCTGGTGGGGGAGTTGTGCGGTGGGGGGGGAGGGTCTGGTGGGGGGAGTTGTGCGGTGGGGGGGGAGGGTCTGGTGGGGGGGTTGTGCGGTGGGGGGGGGGTTGGTGGGGGGGTGTGGGGGTGGGGGGGAGGGTCTGGTGGGGGGAGTTGTGGGTGGGGGGGGGGTCTGGTGGGGGGAGTTGTGCGGTGGGGGGGAGGGTCTGGTGGGGGGAGTTGTGCGGTGGGGGGGAGGGTCTGGTGGGGGGAGTTGTGCGGTGGGGGGGGGTCTGGTGGGGGGAGTTGTGCGGTGGGGGGGAGGGTCTGGTGGGGGGAGTTGTGCGGTGGGGGGAGGGTCTGGTGGGGTGGGTGGGGGGAGGGTCTGGTGGGGGGTGTGGGGGGTGGGGGGGAGGGTCTGGTGTGGGGGTGTGGGGGTGGGGGGAGGGTCTGGTGTGTGGGTGGTGGGGGGGAGGGTCTGGTGTGGGTGGTGGGGGGGAGGGTCTGGGGGGGAGTTGTTGGGAAACACAATTACCATCAGAGCAGTTCCATTGCTTTTGGATGTCTCACAATCCAAACACACGTTTGAGCGCAGAGCGGAGAGGAGGAGGAGGAGAGGAGCGGAGAGGAGGAAGATACGGTCATCGCAGTTTGACAGGAGGATGGATGAAGGTTCCCGAGCGGGTGCCGCGGTGTGTGAGTTGGGTCCGGTCCGGAGGGCCCGAGAGTGGGGTCTGGGGGACGCTTTCTGCCGCAATACTTTTCAAGGTCGCGAGTTAAGTGTCAGGGATCTCCCCCTCACCCTCCGCCCCCCTCCTCCCCCCCCTCACCCCCCGTCCCCCCTCCCGCTCCCCCCCCTCCCCCTCTCACCCCCCGACCACCCTCCCGCTCACCCCCCTCACCCTCCCCCCCTCAGCCTCCGCCCCCTCGCCCACTACCCTCACCGCCCCCTCACCCTCCCCCCCCTCCCGCTCACCCCCCTCACCTGTATGTTCGGGAAGGCATTCCGGATCAGATGGTACATCTTCTGATGTGACATCAAGTCTCCGCTGGTCAGCATCTCGTCGGCCCCCTCCCGGGTCTTGCCTTTGCTCTTGCCGTGCAGCTCGCCGCCCTCCATCACCCGCCGCACCTCCTCGCCTCCCCGCACGGCCGCCTCCACCGACAGCGCCAGCAGCTCCCTCAGGTCCACCCTGTCGGTCCCGGGCGCCGCCCTGAAGCCGGCGATGCGGCCCGCCAGGAATCCCGAGTACAGGTGGTAGAGGACGCCCAGGGTGAGCAGCGCGAAGACGGCCACGCCGAGCGGAGACAGGCGGATGCCCATGGGAGCCATGGCGGGCGGGGCGGGCGGGCGGGCGGGAGAGCGCGGGGCGGGCGGGCGGGCGGGAGAGCGCGGGGCGGGCGGGCGGGAGAGCGCGGGGCCAACCGCCGCTGCTCCGCGAGACCGGACAATGCGTTCCAATTCCAACCGCTCCCCTCCCCGGGGCCGCGTTCCAACCGCTCCCCCCCCAGGGGCCGCGTTCCAACGCCGGAGCCCCCGCGGCCTCGCCGGGCCTTTCGCTCGCGAACGCAAAGACAATGCGGCGCCTCCGCCAAGTGGTTACATGGTAACCAGTAGCAGCTGCTACACACACACACGCGCACGCGGAGCGAGCGAGCGAGCGCGCGGCGGCGGCGGCGGTGGTGGTGGAGGGGCTCCGCGCGCACACGCGCGCGCTGCAAAATCAATGCAGCAGCACCGACCGCTGCTCCACTCCCACGTTCCTCCCACAGCGAGTCACTGGGTAAAAGGTAACGGAATCAGTTCCCGGTCGGCGTTCAGCCCGGAGGGGAGGGTGCGGGTGGGGGGGCAGAGGGGAGGGGAGCGTCGCCGTGCAACCAGTCGAGCGCAGACTCCAGTCCCTCCGGACATCCTCTCCGACGCGAATGTAATAATTCTCTGCAAATGTAATTTTGTTGTTCTTCTCCCGAGCAGCTCGATATGCTGTTGGTTGCTCGGGCTCACTCCTGAGAAACCATCTGCTTCAACACCTCCCCTCTCCGTGTTTGGTGCAACATGTATGCAAGTAGCAGGGACGTCGCTCGGAAGCTGTTCCCAGTGGCAATGTCTTTGCAACCCTCATTCAAGCACTTGGAACTGGGTTTATTTAGGAGTCAAAATAGATCACTTCACATGAGCACTGGTCGAGTTCGACCTGCCTTAAAGTGGGGGGCGATTTAATAATAATAATAATGATAATAATCCTTGCATTTGATATAGCGCTTTTCACGTCGGGAGGACGTCCCAAAGCGCTTCACAGAACACACTGTAAAGTGAATTGACTGTATATTTGTGGGCGAACGCGGCAGCCAATTGCGCACAGCAATGTCCCACAAACAGTCGTAGATTGAAAATGACCAATTTATTATTGTTTTTGGTTTTGGAGGGATTATTATTAGGCTCTGTGTGGAGTAAGGAAACTTGCCCAAGGTTTCGCCCTGCCTGGAATTGAACTCAGGTCTCTCACTTGCAAAGCGAGTGCTCTAACCACTGAGCTACAGGACTCCACTACAGGATTTGTCATGTTGGGAGAGAGGTGCTTATTCCCAGAAGGAAAATAAGTTTTATTAACAATAATAGTTCTTGAATTTGATATCGCACCTTATCATGTCATTGAGACATCCCAAAGCGCTTCACAGAATATACTGTAAAAGTGAATGACTATTTTGTTTCAACACTTTATCCAATGAATTTTCCATTATCTTTGAGCTCAACATCACGTAACTATTTCATATGACTTCAGTTAAAGTTAACAAGGACATACTCACGTTGCATGAAATCCCTTTAATTGCAAGGGTGGAGTTGTTTTACAATAGTTTCTGCACTGCACATAGGAAAAATCCTGTGAAGTGCTTTGAAACGTTTGTATGATGTGATAAGGCAGTGTATCAAATGCAAGGGGATAAACATCTTTATAAATTCTTGAGAATTAATACTTGAGATTAAAACAAAGCTTGTGGTTCTACAATTCAATCCACCACAATCACAACATTGCGTTTGTACAGTATAGGGTGTCCATATCTCCCTGATTTCTGGGGACAGTCCCCCGATGACGTACTGAGTCGCTAGTCAAATCCACCCGATTTTGAAATCAACAACAAACTGAACTAGAACAATAAAATCCTAAAACAGATACACTCTTAAGAGAAATACAGGCATTAATCCAACAAGCTTCTCCAGTGCTGCAAGCGTCAGGAATTCTGGTGAGTACAATTTTTTTTATGTGTCCCTGGATTTGAGCTGTCCTTTCTTCCCCACATCCGCACCACAACTGGCACCGCCTTCCACCACCTCCGGAACATCGCCATACTATGGCATTACCTCACCCCTCACGCTGCTGAAACCCTGGTTCACGCCTTTATCACCTCAAGGCTGGACTATGGGAACTCTCTCCTCGTCGGCCTTCCCGCCACCTCCCTCCACAAGCTGCAGGTCATTCAGAACTCTGCAGCTCGTGTACTGTCCCGCACCAGGCTTCGGGACCACATCACTCCCACCCTCGCTCGCCTCCACTGGCTCCCCATCCCCCAGAGGATCGAATTCAAGATCCTCATCCTCACCTACAAGGCCATTCACGGCCTTGCTCCCTCCTACCTCTCCGACCTACTATCCCCCTACCTACCTGCCCGTACCCTCCGTTCCTCTGGCTCCGGTCTGATCCACATCCCCCATCCCAACCGCCCTACCATCGGTGGTCGGGCCTTCAGCCTCTCAGCCCCTGGGCTCTGGAACTCTATCCCCCAGTGCCTTCGCCTTGCCTCCTCCCTTTCCTCCTTCAAGGCCGGTCTCAAGACCTTTCTCTTCGACCGTGCCTTCAGCTCCCCTCTCGACTCTCTACCCCCTCCTCGCTCTCTCCCTTCCCTCCCCTCACCCTGACCATTTCCCCCCAATGCTCGGCTCCTGACCCAACTGTACAGCGCCTTGGGACGTCCTCCCGACGTGAAAGGCGCTCTATAAATGCAATCTTGTTGTTGTTGTTGATTTACAAAATATGATCACCCTTGTATAGCATAACGGTAATAAGCTCACCCAAAGGTCAAGTTACTCTTGACAGATGGTGCTTATGCTTTAATGCTAATAACTGACGTTAGGACTGTGTATCGAGATGGTTGTTGCAGTATTTTGTAGATGTGGTTTATTAGTTCAAACAACTGAACAAAGGACAAGATTCTACTGACTTGTTATTCATTTTGAAGAACTCATTGTGTCATGTGGGAACATATTTTTCTCAGACATTGATGTGGAAACCACTTGAATGCACAAGATGTGTTTGGGCTGGCATCGCGAGCAATGGACATTTGTGATAAATTCGGTTTCTGGTCTTTATTTTAAATGAACTGTGCAATGAGTTGGATGATGTAACGTATGGTGCATTCTTCTCTACCTGATTCTGGTGCAGATTCCGACCCTCAAACTGAAGCATATTTATAAAATGTGATGTAGTGAACATGGAACATCATTGAAGAGCATGTGAAACACTCTTCCGAATAGCATAAGGCAAGATAACAGCTTCCGAGGTACTGTGACTATTAACGGCCTAAACATTTTAACATCATGTGAAGTCCAAAACTATAAATTGAACAGAAAGTAGGTAAAGTTCATGTTTATAAACATTACAAACAACAACAAATTGCATTTATTTGTTGCCCTTTCATTTTGTGAAGACATGGTAATTTGTTTTGAATGAATGCTTTGTACAGTTACTTAAGATTCATTATTTTTGCTCTAGGTTTTGAGCATGTAAAATGTAACAACATTCTTATGAAGTTGAGTCATCACATGGATAGTTTTTCACTCATAAACTAAAAGCAACCTCAACAGAGCAATGATAATTCTATGTGTCAGATGAATCTGTTTCACTGCTGTTTTGTGTTTATTAATATCTGCCCTGAGTAGTTCAACAATGTGAGATCATGTGCACTGTTTGCTATCTGCTATCTGAATTTTTTTTCATAACATGCAACAAAGAAGCTGTGGTTGAAGCAGAAAGCATCAGTGTATTTATGAGGAAACTTGATGCACACATGAGGGAGAATGGATTAGGGTATGGGAGGGGAAATATATGGAGTATAAAACACTGTTATGAAATAATTTCTTAGTTTTTGGATCTTTCTTGAAAGGTACGCAGAACAACAACAACAAGATTGCATTTATAGAGTGCCTTTCATGTCGGGAGGACGTCCCAAGGCGCTGGACAGTTGGATTGGGACCCGAGCAGGGGGGAAATGGTCAGGGTGAGGGAGGGAAGGGAGGGAGCGAGGAGGGGGAAATGGTCAGGGTGAGGAGCGAGGAAGGGGGAAATGGTCAGGGTGAGGGAGGGATGGAGGGAGTGAGGAGGGGGTAGAGAGTCGAGAGGGGAGCTGAAGGCACGGTTGAGGAGAAAGGTCTTGAGACCGGCCTTGAAGGAGGAAAGGGAGGAGGCGGCGAAGGCACTGGGGGATGGAGTTCCAGAGCCTCGGGGCTGAGAGGCTGAAGGCCCGACCACCGATGGTAGGGCAGTTGGGGCAGGGGATGTGGAGCAGACCAGAGCCAGAGGAACGGAGGGTACGGGCAGGTAGGTAGGGGGATAGTAGGTCGGAGAGTAGGAGGGAGCAAGGCCGTGAATGGCCTTGTAGGTGAGGATGAGGATCTTGAATTCGATCCTCTGGGGGATGGGGAGCCAGTGGAGGCGAGCGAGGGTGGGAGTGATGTGGTCCCGAAGCCTGGTGCGGGACAGTACACGAGCTGCAGAGTTCTGAATGACCTGCAGCTTGTGGAGGGAGGTGCCGGGAAGGCCGGCGAGGAGAGAGTTCCCATAGTCCAGCCTTGAGGTGATAAAGGCGTGGACCAGAGTTTCAGCAGTGTGAGGGGTGAGGTAGTGCCGTAGTCTGGCGATGTTCCGGAGGTGATGGAAGGCGGTGCCAGTTGTGGTGCGGATGTGAGGGAGAAAGGACAGCTCAGGGTCGAACAAAACGCCGAAGTTCCTGACCGGCTTTGAGAGGTGGAGAGTGCAGCCTTGGATGCTGATGCTGTCAGTGCCTGAGGTGCGGAGGCGCTGACGTGAGCCAATCAGGAGGGCCTCAGTTTTGCGCACGTTGAGCTGAAGAAAGTTGCCTCTCATCCAGGACTCGTTGTCAGACAGGCAGGCTGTCAGGACATCGGTGGTCGTGGAGTTGAGGGTAGAAGAGGAAAGGTAGAATTGGGTGTCATCCGCATACATGTGGAAGTTAACCCCATGTCTGCGGATGATGTCACCGAGGGGGAGCATATAGAGGGTGAAGAGGAGGGGACCAAGGACAGAGCTCTGAGGGACA